ATGTTGATAAAAGGGCTGATTTATTACACTATGAAGATGAGGTACAGCCAACCCAGATCGCATAATGTGATGAAGGATTATTCGTTGAATTTTCCCACAATCGTATGAGCCGCAAAACCTAATTCCTATGAAGCTGTGAAGATATTGGCTCACAAGAAATCGAAAATGTTGTTTATCTTAAGTATATTGAGTAATATACACAGTCCTGTTCAGTAAATCACCTTATTCCATTGGCTGATACATAATAGGATTTTATGCATACAGAATTCAGAAGGCTAAGATCATCTCCAAAAAATGTGCAGAATAATATAATAAAATGGCAATATTCAGAGTTTCAAGTCTCAATCGAGCCCTGCTTAGGTCAACAGGCTTTAAAATAATGCAAATAAAATGGGTTTGGAAGAGTATTTCTTGAGCACATTTCCATCACAGTAAGAATTAGTGATCGAGAAATTCGTTGGTCGTTCCCATCTGAATACTATGATGGATTGCTCATGGCTAGCTGTCAGTTAGATTTACTGAAACCTTGTGGTTGACGATGTTTTTGTAGCGACCTCTTTCAATTCCGGTGAAAACATACTAATCCTTCGTCTGCCATACGATGGACACCATCAGAGCAGGTCATCATTCTTGCGACCAAATTCAAGCTAAAGAGTCAACAAAACTTACGATTCTATTAATAAATGCTCTTTCTCCCTCTTTCTCTCTCTCTCTATATATATTGGTAGTTTTCAATCCTATTTATTCTTAATATAGTCAATAGTCTTGGTGTTCAATACTAGTAGATTGGCCGAAAAATCGAAACTTATTATGCGACAATTTATCATGGATGGAGCTTACTTCTCCTGTTAAATACTGACCAACGATCTTTTTTGTAGGCACAAACAATTGAAAGATCTTTTTTTTTCGTAAATGAGTAGGTTTTCGATATGATCAGTAAATCAGATATATGAGTTGTGTTTTCCCTATTTCGTTTAAGGTGATGAAGGACGGATAGTTGATTTTTCCCATAATGATATGAGTAGAGTTGAGGTTTTCCATTAAATTTCGCATAGCCTTGCTTTCCCAAAAGGCTGAAATGGACTGTAGTTTCGACCTTGCCTAGGTCTTATTAACACCCCAAGCGGGAGTCAAACCATGACAGGGCAGTCTGTAAGCTAGATACGTTGACCAATACGCCACATTGCCACGAGTCTCTTTGGGTCACAGGGAAGATGCGAATTTCAAGGAAGGCCAAACATTTTCCATATCACATTTTGTGTTAAGATTGCCGACGAAGCAAACTTATATTTGCTATAGCAATCGACGACATTACTTTGTTTGTAAATGAGTAGGTTTTCGAGACTACCATTAGATCAGATATATGAGTTGTGTTCACCTTATTTTGTTTAATATTATTAAGGACTAGTAGTTGATTTTTCCCACAATGATATGAATGGAGCTGATGTTTTCCATTTGCAGGTAGTCTTGAAAACCTACTCATTTACGAAAATAGTAATGTCGTCGATGTTATAGCAAATATAAGTTTGATTCATCAACAGGCCCAAAACAGAATGTGAAATGGAAAATGCCTGAAATTCTTTGAAATGCATATCTGCCCTGTGACCCAATGGCACTCGTGGCAATGTGGCGTAGTGCTTAACCTGTCGTCCTTACACGCTGCACAATCACGGTTCGATTCCCGCTTGTGGTGTCGATACGACCTAGGCGAGGTCGAAACTGCAGTTCAGGCTGAATGAGAAAACCTTTTGGGAAAGCAAGGCTATATGAAATTCAATGGAAAACATAAGCTCTACTCATAGCATTGTGGGAAAAATCAACTGCTCATCTTTCAACACATTAAAGGAAATAGAGTAAGCACAACTCATACTTTAAAGATCTGTCAGCAACTTAAAATGCATAAGCAGGAGTACCTGTCGACCAAGAAAAATGCACATCTACCTCGCAATGTAACCTATTATCTGGCTTTCATTTATTGAATGATATATTTATTGAGTATAATTAGGTGGAAACTAGCTATTTCGACCGGTATGCTTATCACAAGTGTAGACAACCCCTTAGCAGTATTGCTTCAAGCTGATAGACTGCTAACGATGCCTTCTTCTTTCACAGAACCGCTGCCCATCGAGTTGGGCATCCATGGCATGCTCGAGTATCTGGTGGAAAACGCAGCTCATGAGCATTGTGTAGTCGGCGCCCTCAAATGGTTCGCCGATAATGTGTGCTGCGACTTCAACCGCCCTCCAGCGGTTCTAGCATTGCATGTGTATCATGCTTTGGCACTGCACGCCGAAAGCCCCGATCTCGTAATTGCCTGCCTGCGCATCCTCGGCCATGCAACTATGACCAATCAGATCGCCATAAGTTTGGGTACTGACAAAGAAGTGAGTAATTCGGCCGGACGCAATGGTGAGACTATGTCCGATCAG